TCAGAGTCCATCATCTCTCATGGTTCGTCTCCCCCTCCGACTTACTCCCCTTCATTCTTCCCCTCCTGCTATCTTCTTCTTTTTTTTTCTTAACATATATTGCATTATTTGTTTCAGAGGTACAGATCTGTGATTCAACAGTCTTGTACAATTCACAGCGCTCACCATAGCACATACCCTCCCCGATGTCTATCACCCAGCCACCCAATCCCTCCCACCCCCCACCACTCCAGCAACCCTCAGTTTGTTTCCTGAGATTAAGAATTCCTCATATCAGTGAGGTCATATGATACATGTCTTTCTCTGATTGACTTATTTCACTCAGCATAACACCCTCCAGTTCCATCCACGTCGTTGCAAATGGCAAGATCTCATTCCTTTTGATGGCTGCATAATATTCCATTGTGTATATATACCACCTCTTCTTTATCCATTCATCTGTCGATGGACATCTTGGCTCTTTCCACAGTTTGGCTATTGTGGACATTGCTGCTATAAACATTGGGGTGCACGTACCCCTTCAGATCCCTACATTTGTATCGTTGTGGTAAATACCCAGTAGTGCAATTGCTGGATCGTAGGGTAGCTCTATTTTCAACTGTTTGAGGATCCTCCATACTGTTTTCCAGAGTGGTTGCACCAGCTCGCATTCCCACCAACAGTGTAGAAGGGTTCCCCTTTCTCCACATCCCCACCAACATCTGTCATTTCCTGACTACTTAGAATCACTTTTTAAAGAAATGCTTCTCCTGAGCAAAACAAAATGAGAATATCAGGCTAATCCAAAGAAGGGTTTGTTTACTTAGCACATAATTGTCAAGCATCTACTGTGTGTAGGAGACTACATTGGACAATGTGGGTACAACAGTGACACATCAGTCTGACGTCCTTGAGACATGGGCAATGATGAAAGAAGCAAATACAATCACTACTGTAATAAGTGTTTCATAGGAAATAAATGGGCTGAAGAAGAGTGAGGTGGATAACAAGCTCATTAGCAAAACTCCTCTAAGGACTTGACTTAATTGGAGGCATAAAGCATACAAAGGATTTAGCTTTGTGAAGAGTGGAATTCCAGAACATTCCAGGCCCAGGGAATGGACATGTCAAGGTCTGAGGTAATCACAAGCTTGGTGTGGACAGGAAACCAAGGACTGATGTGGCTGGGCCATACAGAGTGGGCAACTGGGAAACTGGGAGGACATGAGGCCAGAAGGGTGGTGAGGAGTCAGATTCAGGAATGAAGGCAAAGATGGGAGGAATGTGGAGTATGAAGACAAAGGAACTCAGCCATATTGGCTACTGTCTGGGCCAGCTGGGTGGCTGGAGGTTACCCCTACTCTGTGGCACTGTCTTGTGTCTGATTCTCGACTCCACAAATCACCAGCTGTGTTGTCATGGGTAAGATGCTTGAGGATATTGATAATAATGCCTAGCTCACAGGTGAGGCTTAGATGAGTGAATATACATAAAGCTCTTAGAATGGTGTTATTTATAATAAGCACTTCACAGATGTTAGCTGCTACTATCTTATTTGTTGATTACCACTTTCATGAATTCTTCGTCATCTGAGGTATAATCCTTAAGCTCAAAGACTCAGAAACCCAACTCTGCCAACGCATGGAAAGTGGAGGGACTTAGCCCACAGAGTCTGAGGCATAAAGCCAGGCCCCCACCTCTCTTGCTGATTGGCCAAAAGAAATATAATTATTAGGACAATTTGTACCGTTGATAAGCATGTCTTCTACGGTTCCCCAAATGCCTCTCAGGAGGTTGTTTCATTGGTAGGGAGTAGAACATGCTCAGTAATGTTAATGGCGGGTGTCCTGGCTCTGTAAAATTATCTTTTAACCCAAGAGATCTAAGATACTACAATTTCAACATGTAGTCACTTGGAAAAAATTAGTAAGATACTTTACTCTTTCGCACCATATTGCAAAATTGGTGTACATTTTACATTAACAATACATTCCATTTCAGACCAGCTACATTTCAGGTACTTAAAAGCCACATATAACTACACATAACTAGAGGCTACCATGTTGAACAGGGCAGAGCTAGAATTTCTTGACGAATTTAGCTGTGTTAGCCCGGCCTCCACTTCTTAGCCCCTCTGAAATTCAACTGTCTTAGGGTAGTGCCTGGCACACTACAGGCATTTAGTAAATTTTTAAAGTAATGTTCTCATCTCTAAATTAAGAATAATCCTAACATGTGTCCAACACTGTTCTAGGAGCTAAGAATACCTCCATGAACAAAACAAGAATCCCTGGCTTCACAGAGCTTATACTCTAATTAGGAAAGGTAATAAACAAAATAATATAGAAATTAAAATGGAATCCTAAAAGGTGATAAGTGAGTTGAATAAGTGATAGAGAAATTGAGCAGGAAAGAAGAATAAGGAGTATGTGTGGGAGGACACTGGGAATTTTAAATAGCATCACCAGAGAAGGCTCACCAGGAAGCTACCATCTGAGTCAAGACTTAGCACACCATGGAGTTATTTGGTAGTAAACTGTTCCAGGCAGAGGGAACAGCAGATGTGAAGGCTATGAGAGAGAAGCATGGCCACCATTGGGGAAGGAACAGCAAGGGGCCAGTGTGTCTGGAGATGTGAATGAGGGGGTGTCAGAGAGGTAATGTGGAAGACAGGCCAGGGCTTTGGGGGCCATTTTAGGGATTTGGGCCCTTCCCCAACAGAGAGGGAGAGAGCCTCGGGAGGGCTTTGAGCAAAGCAGTGACCTGGCTTGGCCTATAGTCTCATGGGATTGCTAGGGGCTGCTGGGTTATGAACAGACTATAGTGGGGTAAGTACCCCATGGGGTTCCCTTGGCTTGGGGCAAACAGATAGAAATTGACCAACCAGATTTGTTGAGACTCACGCCCCAAATCCTGGGTGGGTGGTCCCCCTAATCTGTCCTGCAGAAAGCCATGCTGAACAAATGCGGTCTTCCTCCCTCATGTCAGCTCTCTTTCCCTGGAAGCATGAAGAACGCCCAAGGAAAGAAAAGAAGGTTGGGTTCGCTGTGCTGAAGCTTTTCTCATTATTGACAGCCCTGTCTCCTCTCTAAATATTTCATCCTCCCCTTTTTTGCACAAGAAGTGCAAAATAAGATTCTTAGAATTTAGACTTTTTTTGAAATCTCTACATTTGGATTTGCAGATATGCCAATATTTGGATTTATAGAGCTGTAATTTAAGCCAGTCTCTCCCCTGGAACCACTTGGTGAAATGCATCTTTCATGAGGCTCCTGCAGGAGCCCAGCTACAAGCTCAGACTCCCGGGCACAAATCAAACTCTCCGGTTCAACATCAACAGTGTGTTGTCAGGGGCCTCCCGCAACAGCAAGGATCTGGAAGGGACAGGCATCAGTGTTTTCCCACTGGTAAGCCCTCTTCTAGAAAAGGATTAAAAGTCTCCTCACAGGTTAGCCACAGGACGAATGGATGGAAAGCTAATGGTTTTGTGTGGGCCTTATAGCCCCAGACCCCTTCTCGGGTGTCTCCTCTCCGTGCCTACCCCCAGGGCAGCCTCGCTCTGGCCCGGCCTGCTTGAGACAGCCTGCTCTGGTTATCTGCGGGGAAAAAGCAAGTCAAATACCGAAGCCAAGGAAAGGGACGCCACTCAGCAGCCTCTATGATGCCTTCCTTAATCTGAAGGTCAAGGAATAATTCAGTTAAAGTGCAAAACTCTTTACGCAGGTTTTAAAGCCCAAGACAGCCAGGCTGAGAGGGTGGGGAGGGCAGCTGCAGGCCACCAGCTCTCAGAGGGGAGAGAGGCCCAGTCCTCACCTCCTGTGAAGCTTCCAATTAAAAAAAGAGACAGAAAAAAGAATACATGCCCCAAACAGGTTATTTGTTGTCTTTGTTACCCGATGGCCCTGCTTATGCAGTTGCTGCTATGTATGTAACCTCACCTGGAGATGGGGGCCCTTTGTGACAGGGAGTCTGGACTAAAACACCTGACTCACCTTGCTCCCCATCTCCTATCCCTGCTCCATCCCTGGCAACACTCCAGGGAGAGCAATGACCAGGATGGGGAAGCACCCACGTAGGGCAGCCAACTGTCCCAGTTGGCCTAGGACATGCTAAAATCAGGATAGTCCCGAGCAAACCAGGACAAGTTGGTCACTCTACATCCAGCAGACACACCAGCCCCCTGGTCCTCGGACTGGCCAACGTCTGCAGGAACATATATGCTGGTGTCCCTGAGGCTGCTTGATGCAGCGGGAAAAGTAGGCTTGGAACCAGCCAGATTTGGATTTGAATCCAGCTTCTCCCACTTACAGTCAGCAAGATTCCTATCCCTAGGCCTTTGGGGGCTTATCTGGGGAATGTAAAAACAGGATCAGTATGGAAATTTCGTAAGACCATGCCCACAACAAATGGCTCTGCCTTTTCCTCCTCATATTAAAATCATCATCTGGCTCTTACACCCGCTGTGTGAATAATGCCTGGCATCTCCACAGGCTTTAGGGTTTGTAGGATGCTTCCATGTAAGCTGTCTCATTGGAGGATTCGCAAGTGAGACAAGGAGTATCATCAGCCCCACTTTAGAGACTGGGGAAGGGGACGGAATGGAGAAGAGAGGCTCCAAGGTCAGGCACCTGGCAAACAGGACACCAGCCCGCATCACCTGCTCCCATTCTGCTATGGCTCACCTCCTATGGTTTCAACAAAACCCCCAACAGCGGGGAACAGGCACAGGTAAGTCTGGGAGTTTCCCAGTATAAGGAGGTGTGGAGGAACCTGTTTTCCAGCAAATTCACTCACTATCTGCTGCCACCGGGAGCCTGGGGCCCAACCCCGGGGAACAGGCAGAGTTCCAGATTGCCTAATCAGATAATTCTGCCCTCGTGCTCTGGTTTTGTACATTCTTGGAATGAGCCATTTGAACGACTACACCTGCAGAGTCAGGGCCAGTGCCTTGTCAGGTAGAAATATCAATTCTCGATTATTCCCCACTGCTTTGGACAGGAAGAATGTGAGAGTGACTAACTGGCATTCAACACAGCTTGTTTTTATTGAGTGTCTCCTCCAAGGAGGTGTGTGGGATGTGACACTTGGGTCACGGCCTGGCTGAGGGGATGAAGCGACAGTGTGGCCGAGAATCCCAATCGAGGGAACATGTCTCCAGTGAGCGGCTGCCCTTGGGGATGGTGCCTTCACGGGCTTCTTCCTTTGTCCGCCAGGCTCCATTTGTGCGGAATGCCTTCCTTCCCACAGCCTGGCCTTCTACCGGACCTGCTTCCTCTCCCATCCCTTCCAGTCCATTTTCCAAGGGCAGCCAGCTTGAGGACCTTCAAACCTCAAAGCTTCCTACCTTTTAAGTAGAAACAAACACAGTCTTTAAGATTTGGCAAACACTTGAGTTTTGCTGCTCTTACTGGGCTCCAGAGTTAAAGCCAAGAACACAGTAGACAAAATCCTTTCTCTTACAGCATTTATATGTTGATAGGAGGAGGCAAGGAGCAAATAAGTCGATGAAGTCAAAGGGACCTGTGAGATCGCCCCACTTGTCAGCTGAGGGAAGTCACCTGGCCTCTCTAAACTTAACAGAATAATCGAATCAAGAGCTCACTGTTAGTTGTCATTATTAATCTAGAGTTGTGTCACCCTCAGGAGTCCAACACTCCTGATGGCAGGCATTTTGGAATTCACTTGTGTCCACATGCCTTGAAACTTCCCCTAGGCACCCTCTACTTCCCCTTCCTTCGGGACATGTCATACTGTCCTAAGAAATCTACTTATTCTCTGTCTCTTCCACTCTACTGAGCCCCATGGGGACATGAATACCTATAAAACCTAGCATGCTGCCTATTGAATTTGTAGAATGAATGTGCAGTGTATGAGACAAGTAGGTACCTAGTACGTCTTCAAGAAATAGGTTTTGAATCAAGCTCTCTCTAGAAAAGACATTTTAAATACATGAATTAAAGAATAATACCAGATGGTATAGGATCAAGTGCTGAATTATATATAATCAAGGGATACAATGTGTTATAGAACTTGAATGGCAGAGATGGCCAACACAGAGGTTCCCCAGGCCAGCCAAAGAACTGGGGTAGTTGAGGTGGGTAGGATGGGATGGGGGCCAGCTGGAGAGTACATCTCATCTCCAAGGCAATGATCGCTTAGTTCTAGCTTTTTGTCGCCATCATGGAATGTGGGCCTGATGGGCTCACATAGCTAGCTTTTTCAAGTGAAGTTGGAAATCTAAACATGAGATTTCTCAAGTCTCCAAATTGTTGACAGCTAATTTAACTTTAAATTCATTAAACAATTATTTGAGATGAGTAAAGAATGTTTGAGAGCACTTATATAGCCTCTGACCGAGAGCCCCGGGTGACCGGATGGAGGTTGGGCCCTAATCAGGAATCAATGGAAGAAGCTACACAGGAGGCAGGCTATCAATATGGCCAAGAATTCTGCTAAAGCCTCCATCAAGCACTTATTGAGCACTTACTAACTACCAAGCATTGGGATATAAAAATGACTCAGAACCTGTTTCCTCTAAGACTTTCTATGTGCTTAATTCAAGAAATGTTGTTGAGCCACGATCACCACATACCTGAACACAGCTCCTCAAGACAAGGAGACAGGCACCTAGATAGACAACTAGGTGTTGCTTCCTACTCATTAGATCTTTGTCCCAGAGTGCTGGAAGCAAACTCTCCTACCTCTGTGTCCTTCTATGCATTCTCCCATCCCTAGCCAACCTACCCAGTACCAGCTGGGGCAAAGTGGCCTACCGCTGCTGACCCTAGCAGAGGTTTCTCAGGCTAACTAAGACATGGGATGACTCGCCATTGCCTCTGTAAGCCTAACTCGTCCCTGTGAAATGGGTACCTCCATGAGCTCACATGGTGATGACACAAAGCATTCAGGTAACAGCAACACCTCAGAGCATGTGCCTGAGGCTGTGTAGAAAATATTTTAATTTAATCTGCACAGCAGGCACACAAAAGTCTCTTTTTGGCCTAACTTATACTGTGATCTTGGACTTGCTGAAGGACTAACTTCCATCACAGCCATGCCAATATTGATTGTTCGGGCTCAAAAGTACCTAAGTAGATTGATTTTTTTTTTTTCTCTCTCAAACTAAAAAGGATTGCAGTAGTGTTAGTATATTCCTGTTTCAACTGGTTGGTATGCATACTGAATAAATAATAGTGTTACCTGGAAAAATTTAGGTAAAAGAAACAGTGATGGAAAACAGGGTGGAAGAGGTCTTAAGTTGCATTCTTGATTCCACTACGAATCAGTCTGGTGTTCCACTGAGTGCTTAAGCTTGTCTATTAACAGCACTCCACCCCCACTCCAATCTATTATTTTTTTAAAAGAAAAAGAACAGTTTGGTAACCTGCATCTTAGGTAGGGAATAAAACAAAAGGAAAAACAAAACACGCAAATACAAAAAAACAAAAAACAAAAAGCAAAATCAGCATGGGGGGAGCAAGTGTCTCCTTGAGGTGGAGGTTAATAGGCAATACTCCTCTCCTGTCACTTCCTTCTGTAAGTCAGCAAGAAGGAAATACATCCACCAGGGGCCTCTGCTCATTTGTTCTTCATTTAAGGACAATTAGACAATTCCTACATCCCCTATCCCCAAGGAAAACAACGAGAGCAAATGCTTTCTCTAACTACCGGATGACCTGGTAACTCTCGAAATAACAGAAGTTATGAAATCTACTTTGTGCTAACTTCCAGGGACATGCAATAAAATAGAGCGCAGGGCTTGGAAGCAAGCCAGAACTAAGTCTTCGTTCTGTTTTATAACTGTTTCCTTTCTGTGAACTTTTTTTCCAACCGTGAAGTTTCACAGCATTCATCCTAGAAATAAACTGAAAAGCTTCCTGAGCTGTCCCAGTAAAAAATTCTTTTCTGTGACCCTTGGCAAGAAATACATTCTAGGAAAGAAAAGAAGAGGCAAACGTCTGTTTACTACCTAATGACTATTCCTTTCTCTCCAGGTCTCCGGGCAAGAAGAGGCGAAGGGGAAACACAACACCAAAACTCTTATTCCCTCTCTCATCTCTACACTGGCAGGTGGCGTACGCCTTCCAATTTCTCTTTAAAGCCGTCAGCTCGGAAAAATACTAAGTGAGCAAGCAGCGAAGACCCCCACATCAAGCCCTTGCTCTAAGAAGGCAAGCGGGATTCCCAGTGGTCGACGGAGACATCAGCGTTCAGGGTGTCAGCCAGCCCTCGGGTTGATTACTTACCAGCTGGATTTAAACCCGCTCCAACGCGGGGGCGTGGCTTGGGCGGAGCCCCGTGGCCCGGGTGGGCGGGGCGGGGGCGGGGATCCCGGAGGCTCTGCGCCGTGTGGGAAAGACCTGGGCTCCGGGAGCAAGCGTCTGTCTCTTTAAATGCTAGGGGCTGCGCTCCCGCCCGGGGAGCCCGGAGCCGGATCTACAATCCCGTCCCTCCAGCTCCGGCGCTTGTTGCTCGCCGGGTCCGAGCCGGAGCTGCCGCCGCCGGGCAGCAAGGCTGCTTCCTTCTCCGCCTTCTCGCGCCCCACCTCCCCCGAGAGCAGGCTGAGGGGGAGCCGCAGCCCCAGCAGGAGGGAGGGCTGCGGTGTAAACAGGCATTGCTCCCCACCTTCAAGTATTGGGGCGCTACGTAGCCGCGGGGGCAAGACATGCGTTGCTCCCCCCTGCCCAGCCTCGCTGCCACCGGCGCCTGGAGAGGAGCGATTGCGGATCCCACACCTGCAAACTCACCTTAGAAGTCTCAAGGTGCGGCGGGGGGCAGGGGGGGCCAATTCCCAATTCCCTAAGGCCTCCACCTCTCAGTGGGTGAGTTTTCGCAGGTAACCCGAACCTAAGGGCGGGCGAGCGCGCGGGGGAGGGGCGGGCGAGACGGGAGGAGAAAGCGCCGCAGGTGAGCCAGGTAGGGTGGCTCACCTGCGCGGGCCGAGCTGCGGGATCCACGCCGGTTTCCCCGAGGTTGGAGGCTTGGGGGCCGTCTCAGGGGCTAAGTTAGGGCCCTGGGGTAAAAGAAGGGTTAAGAAAAGGGGGGTTGGAGTAAAGTTTCTCTTCTTTACCTCCTGCCTGGGCTTGGCAGGTAGGGCGCCGGCGGAAGCGGTTGGAGCTGCTGATGCAATGGGCGTTTGCCCGGGCGAGGTGAAGTGCTGGGGGCGGGGTAGAGCTAGAGTTGCCCAGACTCCTGCGACCGTGACCCTAGAGGTGGAGATAGGAGCTATCCCCGTAAAATGGCTCCAGGTGCTCTGCCTCCAGCCCTTCCTCCTCCTCTTAAGAAATTGTCCTTTTCATGGAAGGGCTCCTACATGGCTTTCTTGCTTTCCTCTCCGAACAGGTGGTGTCCGCCCCTGTCCGGGGACCCGTGCCAATGACCCTAGTGGTGGTTTCGCTTTCTCCCCTCTCGGCTGTGTGAACGTGTATCCGCAGCGTGATGGGTAACCAGGTGGAGAAACTGACCCACCTAAGTTATAAGGAAGTTCCCACGGCCGACCCGACCGGCGTTGACCGGGACGACGGGCCCCGCATCGGGGTCTCCTACATCTTCTCCAACGACGACGAGGACGTGGAGCCGCAGCCGCCGCCCCAGGGGCCGGATGGTGGCGGCGGCGACGGCTTGCCGGACGGCGGGGACGGGCCGCCACTGCCGCCGCCGCAGCCCTACGACCCGCGGCTGCACGAGGTGGAGTGTTCCGTGTTCTACCGCGACGAGTGCATATACCAGAAGAGCTTCGCGCCGGGCTCCGCGGCGCTGAGCACCTACACGCCCGAGAACCTGCTCAACAAGTGCAGGCCTGGCGACCTGGTGGAGTTTGTGTCGCAGGCGCAGTACCCGCACTGGGCTGTATACGTGGGCAACTTCCAGGTGGTGCACTTGCACCGGCTGGAGGTGAGCAACAGCTTCCTGACGGACGCGAGCCAGGGCCGGCGCGGCCGCGTGGTGAACGACCTGTACCGCTACAAACCGCTGAGCCCGGGCGCCGTGGTGCGCAACGCGCTGGCACACGTGGGCGCCAAGGAGCGCGAGCTGAGCTGGCGCAACTCGGAGAGCTTCGCCGCCTGGTGCCGCTACGGCAAGCGCGAGTTCAAGATTGGCGGCGAGCTGCGCATCGGCAAACAGCCCTACCGGCTGCAGATCCAGCTCTCGGCGCAGCGCAGCCACACGCTCGAGTTCCAGAGCCTGGAGGACCTGATCATGGAGAAGCGGCGCAACGACCAGATCGGGCGCGCGGCGGTGCTGCAGGAGCTCGCCACGCACCTGCATCCCGCCGAGCCGGACGAGGGCGACAGCTACTCGGCGCGGACTACGCCGCCTCCCGGGCGCCCCCCTGCGCCGGCCCGGGAGGAGGAGGCCCGCCAGGCGGCGGTGCACTGAGGGGCCCTCTGAGTGCGGAGTCTTGAGAGGGAGCTTTCGCAGCCGCCGCCGCCGCCGCCCCCTCCCTCCTCTCACTCCCTCCTCCAGCACCTTCCGGGCCCCATCTGGGCTCCAGGGCCATTTGGAAAAAAGGAGCGTTGGCGAAATGGCGCAGCCAGCTGTGGCTTGAGCTTGTTATTCTTGGACGGAGGAGGAAGAGGGAGCAGGTAGGAGCGCTTTGGCCGAGGGCGCTTCCTGCCCTCCCGTTGGATCAGTCTTCCTTTCCGAGGTGGGCCAAATGGTGGACTTGCTTGATACTTAATCCTTGCTGGCCCTGGGTCCAAAATCGACCCTTTTACGCACTCGGGGGTGGAGGAAAGTTCAGAGTACCAGTGCCTGCCATTGCGCCCTTCCTGCTTCCCCTCCTTCCCTGGGCTTGCGGGGTGCCCTGTACTGAGGCTTGAGAGGATTTGTGGGGGCGCCCTGCCAGCACCGAGAGCCGCAGATCTGCTACCCCCACCCGCGAGGGGTGTATGTGGGAGTGTGGGCTATGGGAAGCCGGGTGATTTACTTTGGGGGATTCCTGGAGTTTAAGGCTGGAGAGACCAGGCCCAGGTCTGGGAGCAGCAGACCACAACCAAGCAGCCCCCTGTGAAGTATAAGAAATAGTTGGGTAAACTTGGGCTACACAACAAAGACTTTGCTATCGCCCCCTGCCCACCCCCACCGCCAAGTAATTCATCTTCTGGAGCTGACTTCTAGGAGAGTCTCCTGCTCTAGCCACCACTTCCCAGGTTCCGAGTAAATCATTGTCACAGGCCAGCTAGGGGAGGGATTCAATTATGATTCTGTCTTGCCGCCTTTGTTTCTAGCCTGCTTTTGTAGGCACTTGGAGCCGCGTTGTTATCAAAGGAAGGAAGCCCTCTGTGTCTCTGATCTAATTAAAACTGCTTGGCTGTGTTCATCTGCAGGTCACACGGGGTTCGCGGGTGCCACCCCCGCCATAAAGTATCCACTACAGAAGCAGTCAAGTGGGGTTGCCCTGGCAGAAATTAGTTAATTTCCCACTCATCACCTAACCCCCTTCCTGAACGGTGAAGGCAACCTTTTGTAAACTGTAAGGCTTCGGTGGTGGACCTGGGATTTTTTTTTTTTTTTTTTTTTTTTTTTTTTTGCCTCCTCACTGCCCCATCCCCCTCACTCACTTTTGTTCTGCCGGTGATAAAATCTTAGGCTTGCGGTCTATTCATGATAAGTTGTTTTGCTAGCCACACCTGATGCAATTTAATCAAGATGCAAAGTCTTGTTATATCGCAGCCGTGTCTTTGTTCCTTGGAGAACGCCCCCTCCCCCCTTTCAGTGCGATTTTGCAATTAAGAGGGGTGACAGCCATCACAAATTAAATGCCACCCGGTGTAGTCAGCACCGAATCTGGTAGACAGTCCTAGGGCACAGGTTGGTGGTTGTGAGATGTGTCGGCAGCAGGCTGGCCTGTACTCTTGGGATCTGCCGCTGATCCTGTTTGCTGTACTGTGGGGCTTCTAGAAATTTTTACAGCCCATCTCTCGTATTCACGTGAGCACTTGGATGATGTGTGCCCTCGATTTCACAGTGTTGTTTTGCTGTAGATTGGCACTGCTAACGCCGTCTCAAAAGTCGCATGAAGTTTTCCTTTCTCTTGGGTGTCGTTTTAGATGACACTGAACAAGTCCGTTTGTGAACAAATTCTTAGAGTTGGAATGGAATCCTATGTGAGTGTCGTATATTAAGCTGTGGCCATCCTTGGGCCTTCTCCCTGGGGGTTTCTAACTCATGCAACAAGACTTGAAGGATTTCCTTGTATACTTTTTTCAAACTTGGAAGTTGATGCCATAATTTTTCAAAGCCTAGACCGTCGTAGCACCTCAGTATGAAATAATTTAATTTTAGGGGCATTTGCTGTGTTCCCTGTTCTCACAAGGATCACCAAGCAGGTTCTATCCCTTTGCTACAGAGGAACCACACTCAGCCATAGTCTGGGACTTTGGGGAGATGTCAGTCACCTGTGGGAAATGTAGATCTAGTTTTCATGTGTAGTTCTCAGCTTTGTGTTTATATTCTCTTGTTCATGGAAAAGCCAAGCAAGGTAAAAGATATTTAGGAGAGCCTCACGTATCTAACAGATAATGGGTTTTTGTTTTGTTTTGTTTTTATGCTTAACATGGTAGTTGAAAGACCAGTGTGCAGACAGCAAGAGTGGAGAAGAACAGAACAGCACTGTCTAGCAGCTCTGGGCTGGCTGGCTAGCCAGCTAGCTTTTCTGCTCCCCTATCTCTGTGGGCCTCCTTTGCCCTCAGTTAGAAAGTGAATGTCATTGGTCCCACGGAGGTAGGTGCACCAGTGACTGTTGTTACAAAGGAACTGCTTTTTGTGGGAAGTCTCCACCTGAAGGAAGAACTCAGAAAATCCGCACCAATAGTAGTAGTCTGCCTCTAGACAAGAGGTTTTTGAAAATGAACTAGAAGAGAAAATCCATCCACTCCAGAGACTTTTCCCATGTCATGCAAGCGTTTTTACTGGCTACCAGAGGTATGAAGCATGTAATACGAAGAATGATTCCATTGGAAGTTTTCTTAGGGCTCTGTGAGGCTCTAAAGCAACAACCAACCACTGCAGGCTCCAAGAAAGGAGCACCTGTCCACGCAGCTCTTTCCTCAAGGTGGCAGTGTTGTGGATAAGTGAGTTTGCAATGTCCAGGCTATGGCTACATCTGGCACTTTAAAAATATATATATATATTTAATAATTTTTTGTTTCTCCTTGGGAATAAGACTTTAGAACTATTTTGTACTGTGAATTATGTATGTTCTTTGAAAGAAGTATTGATTCTAACGTTCTTCAGAAGCTGTGGCAGGGATAAGCGGAACCCCAGACTGGAACACATACTAAAAGTAATGAAAACAAATTCTATTTTCTTATTTGAGCAAATATTTTATTGAGACTGCTTATGTATGTCAAAGGAGCCCACAACGTCAGCTACACAACTTTTTGTATCGAAAGAACTCTTGGTTTTTGTAGCTTTTATTCCACATGTAATTTAAAATGACTTTATAGCACTAAAATGCCTATAGCAGAAGACTTGACACCAGACCTTTAAGGAAATTTTTAGTTTTTATGAAAAGTTACACATCAGTGGTTCAACTTCTCGTGTCTTCGGTGCTTCTGGCCCTAAGAACACCACTAGACAACACAACAACCACATGGAAACATATTTTTGGAAGCAAAACTTTAATTTTATACGACATATGCTATGGAGAGTGAAGAAAAATTACTGACTACTTGTTTTCTATTTTTTTTCTTAACAAAATGGAATCCACTGTGTTGAAGACTCTTGATATCATGTGATTGTCTAACCATTTTTTAAAAAAATACGTTAGAATAAAATCTACGATCATGGTCAACAAATGGTTTTGTTTGGAAAGTTACATTTTATTTGTGAAAAAAAATTTTTTTTTAAATCATGGTAACTACAAACTTGACTGTTTATTCAAATTTTCACTATGTTTTGTTAGCTATAATTCTTGTGAACCCTGGAGAATTACATTAACTAACACAGTAAATTCTATGTATATTTTATTTCCTAGTGAATTGTGTAAACTGTATTTTTGTTGAAGAATGTATGTTAAATCAATGTTATGTTCTCATACCACTTCTTGAGAAGGAGGTTCTGATTTGAAATTGTATCATTTCCTTCAAAATGAAGGGCAGTGTTTAGTTAAATAAAAGATTGATGACATCTTTTGAACCACTTCCTCTCCACCGTCTTATTAAAATAAAATCTGTCGTCCTTTTGGAAAACGCTATAAGAGTTTCCAATAAACCATCTATTAGTGTTAACTGAATTTATATTTTTTTCCACTTGTATACATCTTTCTGCTGTATGTGGTTCAAAAATCAAGCTGCAGTTTTTCTGAGAATATTGGTGTGTCTCATCTTTACATTGCTCAGTAAACATTTTGATGAATTCATTTAGTGACAAAGCCCTCCCTGCCTTTGCTCTGCGAGAATTAATCACCCATTGCTCCTAGGCTCTCAGTGTTCCTGAAAAATGTCTCATAAACATAAATTTTCAGTGCACATTGATTTTCAGAATCAATACAAACATTGCTGATCACCACACTCCCATATTGGAATCTACACTGGGGCATTTTGGTATTAAGATCAGTTGCATCTTGGGTGATTGAGTTTCAGACAAAGGGAATGCACTCACTGGGTAATTGAATTACAGAAAACGGACAAATATGACCACATGGCACTGTTGGCATAATGAGGGATGCAGATGCCAGCAGTCGGTAGAAGAGCAGATGTGGCATATGGGACTGGTGTGTGGGAGGCCCCCAGCACTCCTTTGGCTAGCATCTGAAGCCACTGTGCCAGTCCTGTGAGGTTCAAAAGCCTGGGCGTTGTCAACAGGCTCTTCGGGATATGAAGAACCGCGAATGCCGGAGGTGATAGGGAGCTCAGCAGCAGGGAGGCCGTTTATCCCTAGAGTGGGAGTCCTTAATTTATCATGGTTCTCCTTGCGCAAGAAAGTAAAGGGAGGGGAGCCTTCTACAGAATGTGCCTTTATTCTTGGTTGATCTTGGTGTAGGCTGCTCTTCCCATTTCTTCTTTGTGGACCGAGCTTGCTTAATGTAGGAAAATGACATGTTTGGAAGCCTTTAAAAAGACTTCCAAAATGAACAGACCCGGAATACATGCAGAAGGGCTTTTATTTCCTTTTACTGAATTAACTGGGGGAACTGCTTATTGAACAAATATAGCCATTTTATCTGCAGAGTAGATGCAAGAATGATTGGTGTGCATTTGTAATCACAACAAGATACCGCTAGGTACAGATTATAATAAAGGTGGCCCTGTAAAGTGCTGATGGTTGGTAGGTCTTCAAATAAAGCAGGTGGGTGTAGATTTAATTGGAGTACTCCCATTAGAGAATTCAGACCAAAATTCTGAAGGTACAGATGGTGGCAAAAAGGATGTAACTAATATAACTAATATTCACGGAGTACTTAACTGGGAGACTCCTAAATTCTCAGTGCCTAACATACAAAGATAAACCAGATCCATAGTTTCTGTGTTCAGTGTCACTTCATCTCAAGGTGCTGTCATCCTCTATGGTTTGAAGAGGGTGGGGCAGCAGTGGTTTTAGGATAGATGGAACAGGGGGAGCAAATGGGTGACCCTGTCCTTCCGTCTCCCAGAACTCCATTGCCAGCCAGGTTATGATGTAGAGTGTGAATTCAGGCCTTTGCCTGATACGACTGAGACAAGTGGCACAGGTCAGCCTGGATGGAAGCAGAGGGAAAACAGCCCAAGTCTGACAGCCTTCATGCCGTGGTCTTGGAGTCATGATTACAGAAGATGGTATTTTGTTCACTCGGCCAATACAGGCCACTGCTAGAATACAGACTTTGGTGCCTTGTCAGGGGTGGCCATCAGTGACTCAAAAGATGAGCTTTGCTGCATTTTTGGGGGGAAACTTGTACAACAATGTACTTAACTTCCAAGGTTTGATGACCTTGATAGTGCATTCATTTTAACCCCGTTAACTGAGGATTCTCAGTGGTTAGGCTAAACTAACCACTAGGTACAGGGTCTGACCCGGGCGCAAAGAACTGAAGAGTGGGTCAGTCTTGACAGCCAGACTCCCTGGGTTTCTCTACTCAGGGCTCTGCTTACTCTGAAGCTGGTAACCTTGGGAGAAGTTAAATACTTGCTTGGAAGTTTTATTTTATCTTCTGTACAATGTGACTTACGGACATAGGTCAAATTCACTGAACTCTCTGAATTTCAGCTGTACTTGAAAAATAATATGTATATAATATAATCGGACTAAAATAATACCTACTTCAAATGGTTATGAGCACAAAATGAAACAATGCACATAAAGCCCAGATCAATAGCTATTATGATTGACTAGAGAAAATCTAGGATATTACAGGTATTCAAAAACCTTATTCACAGTGAAGTTTCTTTCTGGGACAGAGAGGTCTTCCCTTTAGTTATGGAGTGTTTCTTAGCTACAAGACACTGGTAAGATAGAGATAACTCTAAAACTTCAGTCGTTTAGCCACTGCTGGAGGGTTTGAAATGTCTCTTGGGCTTTGATCTTTAGTAGATGAACCACTTAACTTGTTTATAATATTTTATTCAAATATTGCCTAAGAACTTTTAAGGTACTAGGTGCTGTAGAGCCAAGGGGGGGATTAGAAGTGATAGATAATATTAACACTGATGAGGTCGCCTTGCCCCCCCACCCCCACCCCCAGTCCAGTGTTAATCATCACAATGGCCTTTCTGGACAGTTGCTGATAGCTTCGTTTTACAGTTGAGGACATAGGTTTAGAGAAATGAAGCCATTTGTCCCTGGTCACACAGCTTATAAGCCACAGCTTCTGGCCTGGAATAGGAATGCTGGTCTCCAAAGGCCCAGGCTAGGATCCCTCCACTGAAAGATCATCTGGCCCTTCCTACCCTTTGGCCGCCCCTCCCTTCTCCGTACCCAAGGAGAATACAGAGAACCTTCTTCTGCTCCAGCTTTTGTCATGCAGCATTATCTGAGGGGCAGGTAGATTTTCACTCTTGTTGCAGCAGCTCCAAAGGCAGTGACCCTCAAGGCAAGGAGAGGCAGAAAGAGGGGAAGCAACTCTCTGAGTAACAATAACAAGCCCTGGGTGAATGTTGACCATTCCCTAATTACCTCCGCCCTTCCGTGGCTGAGCATTGTGATAATCCGTACTCCAACTGCCCCTCTTCTGTCCCCTTTCAGGCTGAGTTCAGGTCACATGGTCCTACTTCAGATCTCGCTCCAGCCCCTGACTTTTGCTGTGTGACGTTGGGCAAGTTAGTAACTTCTTTAAGCCTCCTTGACTTATCTAAAAATTGGGGCTATTAGGACTGTCTAATCCACAGGGCTGTTCATTGGCTTACATGAGATAATGTAAACCAAGTGCATCGTGGAGCACTTAGGTGTGCCGTGAGCGCCATATTGGCCCTGCCACAAATGGCGTGTCTACAAATATGATATATGACCTTGAGCAAGTCCCTTTACCAACTAGGAGCCTGGATCTACATTTCTGTGTGTGGAGTCCCCAACCCTAGCGGGAGTCCCCAACAAGATTCCAAGCGCAACTTTATCCTTTGAGATGGTTCTAGAAGTTGATAGTTGCTATACTTAATTATAACCAATCAATACTAGTTAGTACCTCTTCCTTGCCTGTAACCCTAAACCTCATTCATGTAAAAAATTAATATGTAGAAAAATTAACATGTAAATGCAAAAAAATAAGGATTATACGCAAAAAAATTTTTTTGAACTGGCAAATTTTGTCATAATCTTTAATATTAGAAACCAAATCTGGGCCATGGGTGAGGAAAAAGGTGGTGATAAGAGTAAATTAATCTGTATCTCCTTTGGACATGGTATTTTCTCTGGAAAAAGTATTTCATTGTCTTTTGTTGTTGTTCCGTTTTTAATTGTTTAATTTTGCTCTTCAAACACTGGTATTCTTTCCTTTTCTTTCTTTCGTCTTTTTTTTTTTTTTTTTTTTTTTTTTGCATACTAGGGTACATTTCTCTTTGCTACCTGACTACACTGTTGGCCAATACATCAAAGCCCATGGAGAGAATTCTCTTGTATCTCAATGGATATGCGTGATTTATTCTATTTTATTCTAATGGGATCTGTTTCTTTATATATTTCAGCAAGAGCAAGGTTGTTCATAAAGCCATAAAGCATCAAACGGTGGCAGTTCTTTGTGCTGACATCTATTTTAGTACTTAAAAAAAAAGAGTAATAGACTTTATTTTTTAGAGCAGTTTTAGGTTCACAGCAAAATTGAACGGACAGCACAGCAGTTCCCACATACCCCCTCTCCCAACCACACAGCCTCTCCCAGGGTCAGCGTGCATTGTCAAGGTGGCACGTTGTTACACTGGATGAACCAACACTGACACAGCATTATCAACCATAGCTACATTAGGTTTCACTCTTTGTGTTGTGCCTTCTATCCTTTTGAAAAATGTATCCACCATTATAGTATCACAGCATAGTTGTACACAAGACACATCTCCTTCATTTCTTTCACTCCCAAGCGAGGAATTGGACTACTTTCAGCTGCTCTTATCAAAACTTAAGAGGCACTTTTCTGCACAGGGCCCTTCTGTTTTCTTTGCCATTCCGAACGGTGTGTCTGGCTAGAATTGCATTCATTCATTCTTTAAGTATGTATTGACGCCCATCAGGCAATGTGCTACCCACTGGGGCTAGAAAGAAGAATACCGTGTGGTCCCTGTGCTCCAGCGGCCCACCCACATTCTGCTGAGCAAGACAGACAGGCACACAGTAAGTGCAAGCCTTTGATGAAGTTGTGTTGATGGAGAACTGGCAGGCTCCAGGCATTATTTAGCACCGGTGAGGGCTGGACATGTTGGCAGCTAACCCCGTGCGGTGGGGATGGGGAAGGGTCCAGAATAGCCTTCCCAGGCAAAGTTAAGCAGATAGGAGGAGGTCTTACCAGAGGAAGATTCTAACATAATCCTGCTTCCAACTCATCAACCCTTTATTTTGGGAGCAAAACACATCTGTCTCTGTATGTGGCTGGGAGGGAGGGGGGACGTGAGAACAACTACTATAAATTGCTTAGTGATTCCTTTTTTTCTTCTTCGTAGTGCTAATACAGATCTCAGCCAACTAGGGCACATTATCGAAAACTCCAAAAGGATAATTTCACTGCATTAAAAGTGTTC